TCTATTTTATGTGGGACGCTGCCACAGCATGGCTTGAGCAGCGGTGCTAGATCTGCACCCAGGAACTGAATCTGAGAACCCCAGGCTGCTGAAGCAGAGCACATGAACTTAACCACTATGCCACTGGGCCAGCCCTAAGATACCATTTTTAAACTATAGGTTGCCTGAAAAGCTAAAACTTTACAACACTCAGTAGTGGCAAGGATGCTGGGATACATTTGCATACACTTTTTGGTGGACATGTAAATTTCTTCAGCAGATTTGGAGAACAATTTGGTGACACCTGTCACAGTTTATATGGCACGTAATTTCATCTCAGCTGAGATGTAGTTATGTAGAAACAAGTTGCAGCATTGTTGCAGCACTGTTTGTAAGGCTAAAACGGTGAAAGAAACCTGAAGGTTTATCATTACAAGACTAAATGAATTATGATACATCCAAACCATGGAAGGCATTTGAAGATGATGGTAATTAACTGATAAGGAATCTGGGCTCTCTAGGGCCAGCCCCAGTGGCCCAGTGGTTGAGTTCAGCACACTGCACTTCAGTAGCCTGGGTTCAGTTCCTGGGCGCAGACCTACACCACTCATCTGTCAGTGGCCATGCTGTGGTGGCAGCCCACATATGAAAAGAGGAGGATTGGCAGCGGATGTTAGCTCAGAGCAAATCTTCCTCAGAAAAAAAAAAAAAAAGAATCCAGGCTCTCTAATCTTCTCTGCTCACCACGGATTCTCTTCACTAGGCTTCAATGTACTGGAAATTCCCTACAATGGTGCTTGGGGGTGTCTGTGTACCTGAAACTTCTATTGTGATTTTTTTTTTGGTTTTTTTGTTTGTTTGTTTTTTTAAAGATTTTTATTTTTTCCTTTTTCTCCCCAAAGCCCCCCAGTACATAGTTGTATATTCTTCGTTGTGGGTCCTTCTAGTTGTGGCATGTGGGACGCTGCCTCAGCATGGTTTGATGAGCAGTGCCATGTCCGTGCCCAGGATTCGAACCAACGAAACACTGGGCCGCCTGCAGTGGAGTGCACAAACTTAACCTCTCAGCCATGGGGCCAGCCCCTATTGTGATTGTTTTTAACTGCTGCTCCTCATATGTTGTTTCTTGTCTTGCTAATGTCACTACCATAAGCTGTAAAGAGAGGTTTCTTCCCAATGATGCTCCATCTCCAAAAGAGAACCTGGCTCTTCCAGAAGTTTCATAGGCTTCCCACTGTCAAGGAACTCAGAACAGGTGCACAAAAACCTGGGCATCCTTGGGACCCTGGCAGGTCCACACCTGAGCTTGTTCTTTCCCCACTGCCTGGGCACAGAGCTGATGTCCCAGGACGTATGCACACCTTTCATCTGTCTTCCTGCAGAGCTGTGTTCTCTGTTTGCTTGAGAGATTTTCTTGCCCTCCCTGAGGCCGGGAAAGCCCATCTCTTCTCAATTGGGAGTGTGCATCTCAGAATCTCTGAAACTCTTTCATTCGTCCCAACAACTTCTTCACAGTTTCAACAAGAGGCCAAAAGGAGTCCTGGTAACTGTGCTGATTTGCTGACGATCCCGCATTTGACACACAGGTAACCTTGGGCCCACCCCATCCTGACCTTTGCTAGATGAGCTTCTACTTGCTCCTTCTCTAAAATGCAATTCAACCTGAATCTCTGTATGATATAAATATGCTACTGAACATGGATAAAAGAGTTTAATTCTCCACTTGTGGCCTATAGTTGTTAATTCCTAGAAGCAACAGAATACTTGCTTAAAAAGTCAAAAGCTTACGTTATTATTTACATGATAATCCACTCCTTTTGTTCCATTAGTGAATAAGCATTTTGATGTCCTAATTTTTCTAGCATGTGTAATAAATCAAAAGAAAATAACCATGTGCTAATTTTAACTCTAAATTTTTGTTAATGATTTCTGTTTTTTTCCTTTTTTTTTTCCCTCCCCAAAGCCCCAGTACATAGTTGTATATTCTAGTTGTAAGTCCTTCTAGTTCTTCTATGTGAGCCACCACCACAGCATGACTACTGACAGATGAGTGGTGTGGTTTTGCACCAAGGAACTGGGCCTGGGCCACCAAAGCAGACTGCACTGAACTTTAACTACTGCACCATCAGGGCTGGCCGTGTTTTGTTTTGTTTTGTTTTAGCTGTAACAGCAATCTATTTCTGCCCTAGCAATTCAAGAAGAGCGAGCTATTTAAAATACAAGTTGGATTATGTAACTGCTGGGTTTTGTAGCCTTCAAAGATTTCCCATCATCCTTTGAACATAATCCCAAAGTGCCTATAATTACCAATTTCATCTGCCAGATCTCTCACCCTAAACTCTAGGGGATCCCTTCACCCTCTCTAGCACTGTCATACAGGCCTCCTCTCTCAGTCCTGGAGCACATGTGGCCTTTCATGCCTCGGGGCTGTGTTTGTTTCCCTCAATTCACTTCATCACTTTTTTTTCCAGCTTTATTGAGATATCATTGGCTTATAACATTGTGTTAGTTTAAGGTGTACCACACGCTGATTTGATATGTGTGTATATTGTGAAATGATTACCACAATAAGGTTAGTTAACACCTCCATCATCTCACATAATTACCACTTTTTTTGTGTGGTAAAACATTTAAGATCTACTCTCTTAGCAACTTTCAGTGTACAATACAGTATTGTTAACTGTAGTCACCATGCTGTACATTACATCCCCAGGACTCATAACTGGATATTATAACAGTTTTTTAACTGGAAGCTTGTACCCTTTGACCAACATCTCTCTATTACCCCCAGCCACCACCATTTTATTCTGTTATCATGAGTTCGGCTTTATTAGATTCCGCGTATAAGAGAGATCACACATTATTTGTCTTTCTCTGTCTGACTTATTTCACTTACAATAACGCCCTCAATTAAGATATAATTCACAAACCATATAATTCATCCTTTTAAAGTGTGCAATTCAGTGGTTGTTAGCATATTCACAGCAGTGTGCAACCATCACCACAATCAATTTTAGAACATTTTCATCATCCCAAAAGGAAACTCCATACCAATTATTAGTCACTCCCTGTCCTCCATACCCCCAGGCCCTGGCAACCGCTAATCTACTCTCTGTCTCTATGAGTTTGCCTATTCTGGACATTTCATAGAAATGCAATTATATGATACATGGCCTTTTGTGACTGGCTTCTTTCACTTAGTATAATGTTTTCAAGGTTCAGCCATGTAGCCCGTATCAGTACTTCATTCCTTCTTATGGCTGAATAATCCTCCATTGTATGGATAGACACATTTCGTATATCTATCTGTTGATAGACGTTTGGGCAGTTTCCATTTCTTAGTGATTATCAATAATGCTGCTATTGACATTGGTGTACAAGTTTTTATGTACACATGCTTTCATTTCTCTTAGGTATATACCTAGGAGAGGAATTGCTGGTCATGTGCTAACTCTATGTTTAACCCTTCGAGGGACTGTCAAACTGCTTTCCAAAGTGGCTGCAGCATTTTACATTCCCACCAGCAGTGTGTGAGGGTTCTGATTTCCCTACATTCTCATCAATGAGCATCATTGTCTTTTTGATTATAGCCACCCTCGTGGGTATGAAGTAACATCTCACTGGGGTTTTGGTTTGCATTTCCCTAATACCTAATTATGTTGAGCATCTTTTCATGTGGATATTAGCCATTTGAATAGCTTCTTTGGAGAAATATCTATTCAGATTCTCATCACTCTTTATAATGCATTTTTCTACCTATTCACTTGTTTACTAGCGACCACCCCCCAACCTTCTCCCGCTCCACTTCGGTTGTGTAATTTAATATGTGGACATAAGTAAAGAAAACCCTGTGTGGGGGGAGCCAGTAGTGCTGTGATCCCAGCAGAGAAGTGCATGCCTAGCTCCGCTCAGGCCTCCTCCGTCCTCCGGCCCTGGCCCTATCACGTCCGCTGATCTGCTTGTGAGTAATGCTTTGCTTTCCTTCCCACCACACCTAGTCCCAGAAGAACACTCACTTCCTTGTCTTAAAGCCAATGCTCAAATTGCTAAGGACTTCTCTCTCTTTGCAGTAGGTCAAAGTTCAGCCTGCAGAATATTAATTCTGTATTCTGATCACCATGGCTGCTTTTTTCTACCACGGCGTTGCTATTTCCTCCTACGTAGATCTGTGCAATTGCTGGAGTCCCTCTCTCCTGCAGCACTGCAAATAGGCCTCCTGCACAGGTCTAAAAACACGCCCTGCCCAGAGGAGCTATGCCAATCCTATGGGCTTCCCCAGTTTTTCCCATGACAGCAGACACCTTCTAATCTGATCTTACACAAAAGAATGTCCCCCTAGTACTCTCTTATTGAAGAGTCATTCATTATCAATGCTCCTCCTTCTGTCTCCACCATCAGTCTTGTGAATAAGTAGAGGTTTAAACTGATCTGCACTGTTCAAAGACTGAAATTTTATAAATTACCTAAATAGCCAAAGGGGATGAGGTGAGAAGCAATATGGCCAGGTGTTGAGAACTAGGACTCCAAAGCCAGATCATCTGGAGTTGAATCCCAGACAGCAAGTTAATTAACCTCTCCTTAACTCAGTTTTCCTGTCCGTAAAACAGGAGTAATCAGACTACCTATCTCACAGGAATGGTGTCACAGTGCTTAGAACAGTGCCGGACACACAGGAAGCGCCATATGTTAGTTAATATTTGTAAGCATACAGTGGAATACAGTGCGGCCATTTCAATGGGTGATGAAGGTGCATATTTAGTGGCAAGCAAGGAGCTTCACAATATAGCATTTAGTCACAGAAGCTGACATCAGGACAGCAGCCATTTGAAATATACACGTGTCATAAACATGTACGGATCCATGGAAGAATACACACTGATAGGCTAACAGTAGTTTTTACTGAGTAGTGGAATGTTAATTGATTTTACTTATTGATTAGTCTTTTCCTTATTTTCTCATTTTTCAACATTAATTATACATGACTTAATGTTTTAGGATAAAGAAAATAATTCTCTGCTTACCTCGCTGAATCCGGTGGCTTCCGGGTTTGAGGCCCCCTTTGTATAGGAGGTACGTAAACGCATTGTTTGTTGGCTTGCTTGCTTTGAGTGGGGGGATTATATTTAGCAAGAGGGGTTAACCACTTTGCTTTTAGTCCTCTTACAAACTTCCGTTTCCTTAGGTGTCTACTCTCAGGAAATCTTAAGGAGGCACGGTCCAGCTCAAGCGAGCAGTAGAATCCGCATCCCTTGCCTCCCCTTCCAGGCTTCTTCCTACGCCGCTTTGAGTAACCATCGTGGATCACTTATGTTTGGCAGAGCCTGAGTGCCCTAGTTACCCTGGAAGGTTTGTTAACTAGTTGCGATTTAAAGAAGCATTCCCCCACACGATTAAAACAATAGGCCTTTGAAGTTTTTTCAGCTGAGAGGTATCAACGAGTTCGAACCATAACATTTGATTAATCAACACAGAAAATCAGGTCAGTCCCAGTTGGTTTCTGTCAGTAGATAAAACTTAAATCATGCTGGATGTAATTTATGCGACGTCAGAATAGTTTGTCCAATTCAGGAAAAACCTCAGACCTACCGGTTGTTTGGTATTACACAGGCCAAACATCTGGGTGCCTGGATTTTATGGAATTGGGTATTTTGTTACTACTGTGCTTCCTTTTCTGTAAAAAACGGTAATGATTCATATTCCAACATCCTTCATGGATTTGTTTGAAAATATGCAGAATAAGTTTTGCTTTTGTCCAAAAAATTATTATTGTAAGACCAAAGACCTTCCACACATCCCCGGTGAAAAAGTCCAGGATGACTTCCTGTAGGTACAGTGGATCTGAAAAAAATGGACCAGAATCTATCTTAGCAGCCCCTGGCAGCCTGGTACTTGATGTAAGAGAAAATGTTATTATTCAGGATCAAGGTTAAGAATTTATTGACATTTATTAATGTGCCGTAATATATTTATTTATCAGCCACCTTTTTGCTCCAGTATCTGATCAAATAAAGTAGCACACTCGAAAGGCACTTTTAAAAGATGTCTGCCCAAATTAAGACATGCCTCTAGTAGCAGAGAGAGATGGATGATGGAATGGCTGAATGTTCAGTAAAAATGTCCTCAAATTCCTGCCTTCTTGGTGTTTCTTCTTGTTTTTGTCTAGTTGTGTGGTAACATCTCCCTCCTCTGACTTATCCCACACAGTTCTATTTAGGCCTGACATCGATGTTACATCCTGACCCCAGCAGACGTGCCACATTGTCAGTGACCCTAGAGTCTCAGGGTTTCTCAAAATGTCATCCCAAAGCCACCTATATGACGATAATCTGGATGCCTGTTGAATATTGCAACAACCTCTACCTCGCCTCACACCTACTGAATAAACATTTCCAGGAGTAGAGCTTGGAAATCCGCATGTTAATCAAACTTTCCAGATTATTCTATGCAAACTACAGTCAGAGAGTGAAATGTCTGTTGTTTAGGCCAATATTCTTTTTTCAGGAGACTGACCGTAACCAAGAGCCAGAGTAGTATGAATTGGTCTGAAGCTCCCCAGCTCCTTACCCTGCTGTCCAAGATGGTGGAGGCGCCAGAGGCAGGGCAAGAAACAACCCAACTCTCTCAAAATGAGCGTGTACAATAGGACACTGGTCAGAACATGAAAAGGGAAGGCAAGACCGGGAGAAAATATTTACAAATTGTATCTCGGATAAAGGACTCACATCCAGAAATATCTAAAAAGCTCTTACATTCCAATAATAAAAACAAAACAAACAACTCAGTTTAAACACGACCGAACGATTTTATCACACACTTCACTACAGAAGAGATGCAGATAGCAAGTAGGCATGTGAGTAGATGTTCAACATCATTAGTCATTGGGGAAACATGAACTAAGCCCACAGTGAGATGCCACTACAAACCCAGAAGAATGTCTACGATGTTTTAAAAAACTGACAATACTGCCAAGGATGTGAAGCGACTGGAAATCTTCTACATTGCTGGTGGGAATGTAAAATGGTGCTGCCGCTGTAGGTAACTGACAGTTTTTTATAAGTTGAACATGCACTTGGCATACAACCCAGCATTCCCACTCCTAGGCTTTACTCATGCAATGGACTGGATGTTTGTGTCCTCTCAAAATCCCTATGTTGAAATCCTAACCCCCAGCGTGATGGTATTTGGGGGTGCAGCTTCGGGAGGTGACTAGGTCAGGAGGATGGAGCCTTCACGAATAGGATTAGTGCCCTGATAAAAGGGCTTTCTCGCTCGCTCTCTCTTTTTTTTTTAATATGGAATGCTTCACAAATTTGCACGTCATCCTCGCGCAGGGGCCATGCTCATCTTCTCTGTATCGTTCCAATTTTAGTATATGCGCTGTTGAAGTGAGCACTCTCTCACCCTCTTTCTGCCATGGGAGGATACAACGAGAAGACAGCCATCTGCAACTGGGAAGAGGCCCCTCACCAGAACTCAACCATGCGGCACTCTGATCTCAGTCTTTCAGCCTCTAGAACTGTGAGAAGTAAATTTCTGTTGTTTATAAGCCACTGAGTCTATAGTACTTTGTTATAGCAGCTCAAACTCAGAGCAGAACAGTAGAAACAGTAGAAATGGAAACACATGTCCACACAAATGCCTGTGCCTGAAAGTTGACAGCAGCACTGTTCATAATCGCCCCCAACCAGAAACAACCCAAATGCCCGATTAGCAGATGGACGTCTAAACAAGCTGTGGTACATCCATGCGGTGGAATGCTGCTCCGCCATGAAAAGGATCAAACCCTGATACACGCAACAACATGAATGAACCTCAAAGCACTACAGTGAGTGGAGACAGCAGGGGACAAAAGGCTACGTATTGTATGATTCCGTTTAGATGACATTCCGAAAAAGGCCAAACTATAAGGACACAAAACAGATCAGTGGTTGCCAGGAACTGGGGACTGGTAGGAGGGGATTGACTTCGAAGGAGCAATGGGGAACTTTGTGAGGTGATACAAACACCCTATACCTCGATTCTCTCACATGGCTCTCAAAACTCACAGCAGTGTATCCATAAAAAGGATGAATTATATTACCGGTAAATTATACCTCATTAAACCTGACATTATCAACAATAAAAAAAGTTTATGATAGAGTCTATGGGCCCACAAAGCCATTTGCAGTAACTTATTCACCATTTTCCAAATCAAGACTTAGTTGTGCTAGGGGAATTAAAACAAGAAGGAAAAAAAAATAAGAAGGAAGTGTTTCCATAAAACATGTATTGGAGAAAGAACTCAAACCCCACTGCCATGGAGGCTTCTGAGGTTAGCAATGGGGCTTCCAGTGGCAGAAGCATTGACTTCCACGATAAGGGAGGTCTCTGCCAGAGTCCACGGCCACTTCTTCCTAAGCAACCCTGCATGCCCTTTAGAACGAGAGAGACATGGGCTCCGAATCATGGCAGATCCAGTAAGTTGTACGTTAAAACAACTCAGATGGAAGCTGGGCTTCAGGAGAGCAACAGGCAAAATGCAGGGCGGGCTCCCATTGCGTGATTTACCAACCCCACTGAGACAGCTGACTTCTTTGAAAACAGTTTCGGGACAAGCTCACTCAACAGTCCCTTGCAAAAATGGCAAAGAAGATCAAGTAACAGGGGATTTATTTGTGTCCAGAAAATGACTATCGGCATGGCAGGAGAGCAATGGAAAAACAAATTTTTAACAGCAAAAAAGAAAAAAAGAAAAGAAAAAAGAGATATTGAATAGCCCCATTGTTTCAGTTTCCTGGTGCCAAATACACAACCTGGGTGATTGACATTTCTTATTTGCCGACTCAGTCTAACTGTTCGGTGCCACACAGACGTGGCCAACTTCTTCCACAGATGAGAAGAAAGGGGAAAGGACACTACGAGGATTTTAGGGAAACCAAGTAAATTCAGAGACAGAGATGAAGTAGATTGGATCCCCGAAGCAGCCTGTCAGGTTCTCTACGAAAGAACCAAGGAATGTATAATTGCACCAAACTGCCCTTCGGTGAAGCATAAGACGCACCTCATGGGTAAAGATCAAAGTTTTAAATAGCAAAAAGGGTGGGATGTTAATCGGAAAACAATTTAACACTGTGCACCATTAGAAAAATTGCATGAAACACCTGTTTGGGTGAAAGGAATTTGGCTTGTAATGAGTAATGGCTGTTGTGAAATAAACCTTGTAGAAAGACAAGCTTGGAAATTTCTGTCCTTTCCTTTGGCATCCCAGCGTTAATTCTATACTGTCATGACAACACTACAGGGTCTTAAAATAGTTTCCCCTTCTCTAGTCACTCTTGCAAAGCTGTTTAGGATTTCTAGAATTCAGTGGCACTCAAGTGGGGAGCAGCTGGTACTCAGGAATTCGCTTCTGAAGGGAGATGGCAGCTGGGAAAGCCGGGTAGTTCTCTTTGTGCCCAGGCCTCAGGAGAGCTGTGGACTTGGCAGGGGAATAAGACTCAGAAGCACTCAGAACGGACACCATGGAAGGATCCGATTGCCCTTGTTCTACGCATCCCACATACTTCTCTCCGGCTGCAGTTGTCATTTCAACCAGGGCTCCATTACAGAGCAAATTTTCCTCTTAAAATATTTTCTTTCTTAGAGATCCTGTCTGTGTGAGCCCTGTGTTCAATCCCAACACTGGGGCAGACCAGCTTGAAAGATCCAGGTTGGGGTGAATGAGTAGCCAATGATCTGAGAATGTGTTTCTGTGGATGTGTTCGATTCTCCAAGCCTCAAGACCCTCCAGCTTTCTCTACTGCTGACTTAATTAGCCATGCAGGAGGCACTCTGTTTCTTTAAGACATTACTATAATGAATGGAACTGGGAAAATAAGTGCAGAAAGATGGTTGCTGCTTCATTTTTCTCTAACAATCTTTCTTATATCTAAATCAAGAATAGTGATAGGAATTTCTTAAAAAGTTAAGCAAACACCTTCTCTATCGCCCAGCAACTTTATTCCTAGTACAGAACCAAGAGAAATGACATCACAGGGCGGTACAATACAACAACGCCCACAGCAGCTTTACTCACAACAGGTCCAAACTGGAAACGATCCAAATACTCGTTGACATAAGAAAGGATCAACAAATTATGGCACATCCTTACAATGGAGTAATACACAGGACTTTTTTAAAAAAGAAAAAACTACTGCTACACACAACCACATGGGTAAATCTCAAAAACGTTATGTGGAGAGAAAGAAGCCAGATGCAAGAGTACCTTCTGTATGATTCCATTTATAGGAAATTCACAAACAAGCAAACCTAGTTTAGAGGGTAGAAGACAGAATAGTGGTTCCCTGGAGTGGGAGGAGCGTGGGGATTAACTGACTGGGAAAGGGGAGTAAGGGAAGTTTCTGGGGTGAGTGGGAAGATTCTATACCTTGATCCAGGCAGTGGTTACAAGGGGGTATATATAGGTAAAAATTCATCAAGTTGCACTTAGGATATGTGCATTTTACTGTATGTAAATTACACCCCAATTTAAAAAGAAAGAATATTGATGGTGTCCTTGTCCAGTTGTTGCAGGCCTGACAGAATGTGTGGGGATCCCTGTTTATAAGCATCAGGCTCAGCTTTGAGCTTCTTGCCACCAGACAATAAAGAGAACCAACATTTCTCATAGTCAGGACGAAGGAACTGCACTTTAACCATTGATTGAGCACCTAATGTGTGCTTGATACTGTGCTGGGGGTCTTGGGAGGCTTGATGATAGATCAAATGGGATTCCTGCTCCCCAAGCTGACAGTCTAGTGTAAGATACACTGCATGGACAGTGGGGACAAAAATTCAAGGTAGAAAGTCATAGATGGCCCCAGACAGGTTGGAACCAAGCACTGAGATTGTCAGATGATTTGCCCAATGTTTACCGGAAATTCTTGGCTGAGAGAGACAAAGGGAAGGTAGGTGCCCTGTGTTCATAGGGGAGGGCGCCTCAAACGGAGGGTGGGGAGGTAGTGCATAGAGGAAGATGCAAAGGAAATTTCCATTCTCC